GATATTATTTTACAAATATTCAAAATCTATCGCATTTCGTTTACTGGACTAATTGCGAAATAAGCAAAGGAGATTACCAAAAGATGAAATTTGAGGAACGTGCCAATCGACTAACGTACCGGTCGTATAACGAAAAAATTAATTTATAATATAAAATAATAGAATATCACAATATAGTCGAGTTGTTTCATTATTCTATTATGTTTGTTTGTTTCATTATATCTATTGTCAAATATGTATAAATTTTTATTATCTCGATGATATTACGCATGTTGTTATAACGATTTTTTAAACCATAGAAAAGTAAAAGAGACAAAGAAACTATTTATTTGCTATGAAAAAGTGGAACAAAGTGTACTATTAACAAAATATTTGTTTCTGTTATTCGTTTTTGTTTATATAATCCCAATCCGAGTTTAATAACTGAAATATCAATTTGCGATACTGCAGTTAGTTAGAACGATAACTGGTGACAAAAAAAAAAGAGACGCGATAGAAACGAACTGGGTCTAATGCGAATCTGCAAACAATATAAAAATAAATTGGACTCGTTTAATTAAATGCAACGACTGTCAAAAAATTCTAATTGATATCTGTGTCGCACACATCCGCACAGATTTTTCCCATTTACAATCACTCATTGTTCAGACAAATTTTTATTAATTCCACTTTTGTTATCGTAATTTTGTGCATGAAAGAAAGAGTTTCCCCGATATTACATTATATTCCACGGAAAATCCAATGAAGTTCATTGAGCAAGACAAAGGATCTGAAAAATTATCATCATTCTTTTGATGAGGCTATTTACGACGAATAATTTCGCTTATTACATATTTTGTTATTACACTTATTACAGTTTATTTATTGTCATTATAGCTTGCAAACGCGATATATAATCAGTCGTATTTATCATCGATATAAACATTTGTAAAGTCCGTTTGAAAATAAATTATATGTCACGTCTATGTATTATCATATTCAAAGCAGGTTTGTTCCTAAACTTTCTAAATTAAAAATGTGCATGGTCTTCTGATCTTGTTTTCGTTAAAAAGTGATAAGAAGTTGATAGTTTAATTATACAAAGAAAAAAAAGGAAATTATTGACCTTAATATTCAAGAAATAATTCAAGAAATACGATCGTATAAAAATGATCGTAAACAGAGGAGTTATGTTCAGATTTCATATCTTAGAATTTATACACAGGTTTAATACATATCTACGACTTTCATTTTACGCAGGCATCGTTTTATTTTCCTAAATGAAATAGATATTTAATTATCTTTTGGCTATTATTCTATACATATTGCATATTGCTTTTCTTCGTGTGTTTTAATTGTTTTAAATAAAACGGCGATATACCATGATTTACGAAAAAAGTTATTTGCACGTTTTATACGTTAGTATAAAAGTTAAATTGTACGATTTGCTAAATTTAGGTGCAACGATAAGCTTTATAAATGATTTCAGATTTTCCTACTATGGCAAAATTAATGAAGGAGAATATTATTAATCAGTGTTAATAATATAAGGCTTTGCATACTACGCTGACTAAGATCTGCTTCTTGTTATAGTACAAAGCGAATTAATTGTGTGCATTTTATTAAACGTATGAGAAAGTTTCATTCCTTATTCCTCATATATACATACTTTTATATATTTCTTTCTTAGATATTATTTACATCATACGTATAAGAATGCACATAAAAAGAATGATTTTACGTGGTAATTTTGTAAGGTAGCAAATAATAATAAAATAAGAAACGAGACTTGCAATAGAGAAACAAAACGTAGCTTCACAGTTTAATTCAACGCACGATTTAATTTAATTTTGAATTATTTATTTCAAGTATTCTCTAACCTTTAACTACCTTTTGCAACTACCGATGAGATATTTCGCGACACAATACCGCTCATACTATTTATTATTATAATTATATATTATAATTATAATTAATTATTATAATTATATAATAATATATACAATAATAATTTATATATATAAACTATATAATATAATATATCTATAATAAATAATATATATACATATTATAATATAACATTATGTATTCTCTAATATTATGTAACTCTAAATCGTATTATGTACGTAGCTATGTACAAAGGTTGGAAAAAATAGTGGAAACACCTCTTATATATCACATACATATATATACACATATATGACATATATGAAACGTAACACGTGTTTCCATTATTTTGTTCAATCGTTGTATATAAGTACATATACATATACATATATGATGCAATTACATGTAAATGAATGATGCAATTGTACCTACATGACACAATGAAATTGTACACTTGTATTATAAAAATCCTATATTTAGAACGTGCAAGCCTATGACAAGGACATATAAAAGTTTTTGCAATTCAATCGAAGTTTCTCCATTTCATTAACAGTAGATCGAGTAACTACGTGATTTTATCAGTGAAGAATATGGAGTAATGAGAGACTAAAGAATAATTCAATTAATTTTGCGGATCAAAGAAAAGTTAAATTAGAAGGGAACAGCGATGACGCCCATTTCCACCTTTTCTTAGAAATCCATTTTCTCATTAGCTAATTATTGAAAAACGAAGATAATAATTGGCTTTCCATTTCATCAAACGCCAATATATATATGTACACGTGCATCAACGAAAAGATTTCAATTAGAAGATAAATACAAAATGAAAGAATTTACAAATTACAACTTGAGATACGTTTATAGAAATCTATATACAATTAACTTTCTTACGTCAATCTTCAATCTTTAATTAAAATCGATTCTTCTATTCATTTCCATATATTCATTAAGGCCGCTATTATTCGTTTTCTACTATTTATTTTGCAGACGTGCAAATTACAAACTTTATAAAACATAGGTACCTAAAATAATTCCGTGACAGATAAAAGATGTAAAATTCATAAATATGGGGATCGATGTTATGTAATAATTAAAAAGTTTAATTGTAAACCGTTTTTACATACAGTTGCGCACGAAAGTATTCGAGGACTTGTAGAAACCTTTCATAAATATACCTATTATGTGTGTTATATGAATCATATCGCAACTTGAAAGTTTAGTTGATTCATAAAGTTTAAAACAAGTCTGAATATATATATATATATGTGTATATATATATATATATATATATATATATAAAAATACAAAATATTTGGTGCAAACATTTATAACTTCAAATCTACCCCATATGATCGTGATAATCGTATTTCATTGCATGTACTAGTAATAAAATTTCAAAATATTTTATACAATACATACAATATATAAGAATTTACATATTATATATAACAAATATTCCTACATACTAACAAGTATTCTTATATAAAAGCCCTATATACAGAATATATAAACTTTTATATAAAGTTAAAAGAAACGACTTGTTTCTGCAAGCATGGTTTGATACTGGCGCGCCATCTTGTGACAATAATCATTAAAGGAGGTATCTGCATTGACTAGATACAAAATAAGTAGGAAATTATATGGAACTTTGTATCTCGAGAAACTCAGAGTCTCAAATTGTTTTTCGAGGTACAAAATAGACCTGACATACGATATGCAATGCTTATTCGTGTCCTACATTTTGAAAGTCGCCTGATTCTTTTACCATTATCGTATCACTTGCGACATTATCGATTAAGTAATGGTTTGAATTAAAACTAAATTTTTCTATGAAATTGTATACGAGCAATGACTAAGGTCGGTAGTACAAGGGATAAAATAAGACATCTTGTATTATAATTGCAATATTACAGTAATTAGTATAGAATTCTAATTTCTGTACTCTTAATGTTTTCCAGTTTTATTGCGTTCCGACTGTATTCTTAGCCTCTTGTTTATCACGAATTCCAAATAATAATTTTGTATTGTCACGGATCCCCAAGACGTAACTCAAAATTTAAATTCACAATGTGACAAAATATGTAGATGTATTTAATAAATAAATACATATACTATAAAATAATATAAATATTTTTTATTCCAATAATGTAGTAATAAGCGAGGATGCGCGGATGGGGATGCGCGGACTACAGGTTAAGAACTGCTATGAAAGACGAACGACCTACTCAGATCGTATGAGCTACCCGATTCTTTCAAGCCGCTCAGTTCTTTCAGATCGGGTTGATAGTAAGCAATAATAATAAATTATTATTATCCAAATCGAATATATCTTGGATCGCTTTCTCGAACAACTTTAATGTGATGCGAATGCACGTCGTCGTACGCAGTGAACGTATTAATTAGATATGTATTATACGTAAATATAATCATATACATACCTCCATCTTTGTTAAAATAAATCAAACGTTACCAAATGTTTTACAGGAAATGTCATCGAATTGTTACCATCTATACATCTCTATTTTCTCGAAATCATCTCCATACTTAACCAGTAATGAGTGCAAAACATAACCAAAACTTTAGAATTAATCCATAAAATTGAACCAATTCTGTCAAAATAAAAGGATAATTAAGCTTAAATTCTGTCCCAGAAGCTTACACTACAATTGCTACTGGTAACACTAACACTTAATCTAAAGGGACAGTCGGCAACCAACGAACACAGGAATTTCTATAAACTATAGAATTTCGATATAACAATACCTAACAAAGTACGAACAAGAATATATTAGTTAAACGAGCCTGATAATATTCGATAAAAGTCAACAATACAATGACTTAATTGGCTAGAACGAAATAGTTTCGCTATCGTTTAAAGACGCGCGCAAAATTAAAATATTGTATGCCAAGGAATTTGATTTAAGCAACGAATTTTTAAAGTTTGATATCTAATGATTGATGTGTATTAATTTACAATTTAGATTTAATTTAAACTCATCTGTGATTCAAGCCACTACTATACTTAATCGATAATGCCGCATGTGACACAAGAACGGTAAGATGACTCTCAAACACTGATCCTTTAGAACGTAGGGTACGAAAAAACATTACAAATTGTATCATCGCATGTCAGGTCTATTCTCTACCCAATCTGTGTCTATTACCTCGTCTGTGATCTGTCAACAACTGTAGTTACCCAGTGAACCAAAGCGATACAAACTTTGTACAATAGATGGACCATATAGTTAGTAATCAGAAATTAATTCATTTCTAATACATGAACACACAATCTGTGCTTAGTAACCTAACTGCCATTAGTTTATATCAATAGTTATGTCGAGTTTTAGAATAACAACATCAAGTGTAATTTGAATTAGAATTACTCGTGTCATTGAGAATATGGAAAAAACTAATGTAGCCGATACAGATAATATCAAAAAGACTTTAACTTTAGAGGAAGAGCAGAAAGTAATTGATAAGGCACCTTTTCATCATCTAAAAATTACTAATGCGCAAATTTTGAATACAATAGAAGGTAGGAAGATATGTGAACGTTGTAATAGATCAAGAAAATTTTTTTGTTATTCATGTTACATACCTGTTATTAGCAAGGAGTATTTTCCAACAATAAAGGTATTAATTATTTGGCAGGTTGAGAATCATAATGGTGTAAATGAGTTCACTGCTATTTTTCATAAAGTACTCTATATTTATAATTATAAAAAATTCATTATATTCTTTTACATCATGAAAACATATTGTAGCTGAGAATAAATTAATTATGGAATTAAAGAGATGATTCTTTTAATGGCTAAATCCAAATTATCTAAAACTTAATATATACCATTATAATTTTCAACTTGTAATCTATTTAATATGCATTTAAATTATCTAAATATGGATAGACAATATTCTATTTTCAGTTACCTATTAAAATCGATATCATTAAACATGCACGTGAAATTGATGGAAAAAGTACTGCAATTCATGCAGCTATACTTGCTCCAGAAGATGTGAGAATTTTTACATATCCTAATTTTCCAGAAATATTAAACAAAGAAGAGGTATGATAACAATATTGTATTTTGAATCGTCTTATTTTTTACTAATAAGTCTAAATAATATTACCCCTTAGACTGTTTTAATTTTTCCTAGCCCTACGGGTATACCTGTGGATTCCTTATTCATAAAGAAAGTTGAAGAGGATAATAAAACAATTACGAAGACAATAAAGAATGCATTTCCTATAAAAAAAGCTATCTTTATTGATAGCACGTGGCATCAAACAAAAATTATTTATAATGATCAACGATTACGAGGTAAATAAATAAATAAGTAATAATCATCTCATTATTATCAATAATCCTATCATTTAGGTGCATAAAATAATAGGTAAAATTATCAGGGTCTATATAATATTATACATAACAAAACATTAAGACAAACGCAACCATATATATTTCTATAACTTTTGAATGATATATATAACAATTTACATTTTTGTTATTTTTAGTATTCCTCTCAAAATAAAAAATATTTAGGAATGTTACTCATAACACTTCATTCTCAGAAGTAACAAAGCTGATAATTTGTGAAATTGAGTTAATTTATATGTATTTCTTTTCTATCATGTTAAGAATATAAAAAAATTAAAATAATATTTCACATGATATGTATTATTAATTTACAGATTTGAAATGTATCATTTTAAAATCAAGAATATCACAATTTTGGCGTCATCAAAAAAAGAGTCCACGATGGTATTTAGCCACAATTGAGGCAATTCATCAGTTTTTAGTAGAATTGCATATATGTGCATTTGGTGCAATACAAGGATATGCTAACGTAAAACATACTGAAGAAAATTCCACAAATAATACAATATATCAAAATGTGAACGAGTTACCTGAAATAGATCAAAGATATATAGGTCAATACGATGATCTTTTATATTTTTTTAAATATATGTATGAGAAAATTCATACTATGTATGATCATGATAAATTATTGGCATATAAGAGATCATTAATATAATTCTGTGATAATAAAAATTTTTATAAGGAAAAATATTAAATATCTCATAACTCTATTAATAAAAAAGATTAGCATCATTTCCATGATCTTTATTTTCAACCTTAAAAACATAATCATTAAATGAATCAGTCCTTTACAATAACTGGTTTTATAATGTGAGATTACAGGTTAATAAACTAATGATCATATATATATATATATATATATATATATATATATATATATATATATATATATATATATATATATATATATATATATATATATATATATATATATATATATATATATATATATATATATATATATATATATATATATATATATATATATATATATATATATATATATATATATATATATATATATATATATATATATATATATATATATATATATATATATATATATATATATATATATATATATATATATATATATATATATATATATATATATATATATATATATATATATATATATATATATATATATATATATATATATATATATATATATATATATATATATATATATATATATATATATATATATATATATATATATATATATATATATATATATATATATATATATATATATATATATATATATATATATATATATATATATATATATATATATATATATATATATATATACATATATATACATATATATAATACAAACTGTTATATAAAATAGTAAAGTAATATATTGCAAAATATATATATATATATATCATTAACCATTTAGAACTATTTAAAATCCCATGCAATGTGAACAAACATTAATTATATAATTTATTTTTGAAAGTCAAACACTGCAATTATTTAAATTAAAAATGCAAATATAAAATAACGTATGTAAATTTTTTAAATTACTTTAGGTTATATCGAATTTTTAAATTTTTTCGTACTGATATTATTGAACAAATGTATTCCCTTTTTTGGAAAATACTACTTGATAACTTTCGACAAATTAGATAACAAATGCATATATATATTATTGTTAAAATATGTCCTTAATAAACAATCGTGGTAAATCCAAAAACATGGCAAACGGCATTCAAAACATTAAGGAAATGATATTTCTCGAACAAAGAGGTGGGTGACCTACAGGTATTTCCAGCAAATCAAACATAAAATTATGTTATCTATTTCTGCGTTAAAGCTTCCCTGAAAAATTTGAAAATACGCGCACGCTTTTTATCTCGAGGCAAATGCAATAATATCGGAAAAATGCGAAACGAGCTGCAAATATAAGAATCTGTTCATCGAGCCTGTGGCGTGTTGAATTGTTTATTATGTTTGAAAATAAACAATGAAAACAGGGAGTATGTACGAGAAAGAGAATGCTCCCAAACACACGGGAGGCAGCACGCTGACTCTTGAATAGCTGCTAGTGACGTCACAGCATCCTCGTCTCTTACGTTTCGCAACCCGCGGTGCCCGTCACCCGTCTGCGATGAGTTTAGTTTTCAAAACAAGACTCTGGTTGCCGCTCGTAGGCCGCACTCGCGTTTAAACGAAAAGCTCGGGAGAGCCGGAGTCAAAACCTGCTAACACGGAAGGCTGTACCGTAGCATAGTGTCTCGCGAGCGGTCTTCTTTTCTTTCGGTATTTCCCGTCTTCTGGTTTAAAACGTGACGAAAAAATGGACACCCTACGCGAGCAGGTGATGATCAATCAATTTGTGCTGGCTGCAGGTTGTGCCAGGGAGCAAGCGAAACAGTTGCTACAAGCGGCGCATTGGCAATTTGAGGTAAGGGAACCAGCTTCCGCATCATTTTTACGAGAAACATTCTGAACTTCACCATATTTATGCCCATCGCGGCTCGATACTTCCTACGTAAACAAAGCAGCGAAAATGGCCGATCGTACAAGCGGCACTAACGTTCATTTCATCCGTAACTATTACGTATTAACATGCATTCGATTAAAAATGTCGATCGAATCTGATCGAACGATGCTCCGTTGTTGACTCTCGCGTATCGTCGCGTTAACATTTGTTCAATAATACACAAGGATCAGCGAGTGGAGTGAGTCAGTGAGCACATTTACTATCACACAGGATGAAGTCCATTCATAAAAATCATACGATGTTGCTAAGAGGTTTTGTTCGTTATTGTTGTGATGAGATTGCTCTGAAACCCTGTCAAGGTTATGCGCACGATATTTTTAGGTTAACTGACTATAATTCGAATCTTTTTCGTGAGTGTAACAAAATTTATGTAAACGGGAGCCAATAAATATCAGCCTCCAGATATACATAAGCAATGATTTTACAATTTTCAAAGAGTTTATTATGGAGAAAACAATTTGTAATTTTGAAGTCGCAAATTAGTTACAAATATAGTTAAAAATGAAATTATTGCTATATTGAAAGTTACATGGTGTTATAGAGGGTTAACGCTTTTCTAATATGTTTGTTTGTTTTCATTTACGGATGTACGCTATCGTAAACTGTATTCAGGTACGAATCTAGTTTTAGACTTGGCTTTTATTCATTGAACATCGTTGCAACCGCGCATTCATCATACGTAAAGTTTTCGCTGGTTTAAAATAGGGTCATGTATCTATATCACACTCGATTTCTTCAAACCGACTCTGTAAACGGACTTGGCCATTAACAATGAGAACAATGCTGACATCGCGTGTGGCGATCGCGAACAATAATTATCTTTTCAGTACAACCTTTCCAGGTCTATCGATTTACGAGCTATTCGTTTGTACTAAAAGCCTCCTTCGATTTATGGAAATTAGATTACATTTAACCTATCTATGCATTTACTATGTATATGCTTTGTATACTGTGTTAACGACCTTTATACGTAAGGTTTACAAGCATAACGCAACCTATATGTGTTTTAACTGTAAATATACTTGTAGATTAATTCTTTCGTTCGTCGTTCGTTGCAATAAAAAATCTACATTAACTTTCATGTGGTATATAGATATAACATAAATATAGGGTGTACCAATATCGATGGTACAAATAAGATGGGGGTGATTCTACTCCAGATTTTACCGGGCAACCTTCGTCAGTGTGCTGTGTGAGCATAGCGAATAAAAATATTTTATACAAATATAAATATTTCGAAGCTTTTGTACTGCGAGGAAGTTTATATGTTGAAGAAAATATTAAAAAATCATTCTTAATATTCATGTGGTCTCATACCAATTTCATATTAAAATTTTTCTTAAAAATTTTGACGATTAATTCTTTTGGATATAATAATTTTATTATTTAAGAATCTTCTATTTATTACACATGTTTTATTTTTTTAAATAAATTACGTAATACATTTGTAAAATGTAACATCAATTCGCAAAAATACGAAATATCAAGGAAACATAAAGAGAAGAATAAGTTGATATTAAATGTAATCATTATCTATTAATAGTCGGTTTTAAAATATTCACTATTTGTATGTGTGTACGATTGTCAGAGCTGAAAAATTGTATATATTTATTACCGTACGAAGTTCGTTTTAATTTTGTTTCATCTCAATAAATGAGACACCAATTCTACCAATCAGTTTATCGCACGTATTAATCCCTATTTGACATACATTTTCTTCCAAAGTTCTTTACGTATTGAAATAAAAAATCGTGTATGATTCGAAGATGAAAATATCACAGCAGGCGGAAACTGGTTATTATTCCCTTCCATTTTGAATTTTTATATCCTAACCTTGCTGTTTGTTCAACAAATAAAAAGAATTAATATCTCGAGAAGAATTTTAACATAAAATTGAAATGAAAAATCATACGTATTAACAATGATTTTTTTTTATCTGACTGGAAATAAACTCAACCTGTTAAATTGAAAAATGTAAATCTTTTAAACATAGCTGATAAGTCGACGAACTTTTCTAGGAGCCAAAGATATATTTTTTAAGGCAAGAAACATTGTAATATCTTCAATTCCTGTATTATTACGACGAGCGATATTTTGAAAATTTTTAGGTGGATGGAAAACACACACGTTTAGTTTCAAAACAAAAAAAACAGACAATTTTAATAACATGAGTTTGATTAACAATAAACTGAATTTTAAAATTGCTTCCACGTTCCTTGTAGTTTACATATACGTATTTAATTCCAAAATCAACAAAAAAAAAAGTAGATTTTGTTATATGAATTTTGAATAATAAGATTAGAGAATAATGGAATTTTGTAATTGCTTCGTTATAAAATACCAAAAATGTGTCTTATCATTTATCATTTATGATTCTGTAGGCTTTCTGTAATTGTTTTCTATAGTTTTCATGTACATATTTAATCCGAAAATAAAAAAGAGATTTTACAACATGACATTTGAATAATAATTTTGATTTCGCTCCATCGCAGAACACTGAAAATGTGACTCGCCATGTATTTTTCCAGTGACTTTCGTTTATATTTATAGAACATATGGACGTCAATTGTCACGGTGATCATCGGTGAGCTACGTTTACTAAATTTTTAGAATTTTAATTAATTAATAAATTTTAATTTTCAATAGAATAAAATAAATTTCATGGCCTAACAATATGTTCAACAATGTAACATTGTTAGGAAAAACCTGCACAAGCATAATATAATATTTTGCAAAAATTAATTTTTATGGTGTAGTAAGTATATTTTAATCTATTGCGGCTGCCAGGACAAAATATATAAAATTTGCGTGCTATTCGTCGTATTAACCGGAAAAATCTAGAACACCGTGTATATTACTACAGCATTATATCTTATTTAGCATCAATTGTCTATTACCCTTCATCCGTGTTCTAGCGGTACGGATTAATATGACTTGTGTTTTAAGGTTACACAATTATTCTCGATAATAGAGAAATCTGATAAAAATGATACTCGGTGAAGCCATCGTTGTAAATTTTGTGGGATTAAGGAAAAACTTTATAGTATGTTTTGACGAGACAAGATAGAAAAGATGTCTGTATACTTTGATAATGTAAAACATGCTGTCAATATCTCGTTGTGTTTAGTTGGTGCGTTTCTCATACTTTCACACGATCAATATATAATACGAGGAAGTACGATAGGATAGACTTTCAGCAATTAGTATCTTATCCGTAGTGAGCATTAGCAGAGTACTTCTTTGCTAAAAGCTTTCTGCATTTCAGATCCATTTAACGTTAGAATCTCGTGAATTTTATTCTTCTCGTTGTCAGTAATTTTAACCGATTTTCTTGATTTTAAACGCGCGTGTTTTTGTTAAATATCGCGCTCGATGTTTTGTTTTCGATAGTTTTTAATTAATTAACACTTTAAAATGTCGTGTATAGTAGAAGTACGTATTCATGATTTTTAAATTTTATCTTATTTATTTGTCAGTATATTTTTATAATCTACTATCATACCGTTGTACTATTATTAAATAATTTATTTATTACCTAATTCTGATTTTATACAGAGAGACAAAAGCTATTCGTGTTTCTTTCATAAGCAAACAAAATAATATTAATAATTATCTATTAACTATGATATATATATATATATATATATATAATGACAATTAACTATTATAAATAATTGATGTAACTGTAAATAGTCAATTTAAAACATTCCCAGTTATAGAAGAGTAACTATTTTTTTTTATTGAAGTATCGAATGAACAGTATGAATAATAAATCATTTTCAGTTACATAATTTTCAGGGATTGAAATAATAAATGAGCCTTATTTAGAATTGCATATGTAGAAAGTTTATATTAAATTACAAGAAAGATGACTATATGTTAATAAGGAGAACCTACGATAAAATATATGGATACAATGTGCTTTTTAATTTGCATTATACACAAATAAAAATTTGTCCATAATTGTTTTATAATCTCTTAATTCTCCAAAACTTCTTAACAAGCCAGAATATTGCATGCTTATGAGGAAAGAAATTGCCATATATGTTAATTACGGCTTTTTCATTTTAATTTGGATGTGTGTAATAATACTATACCAATCAAATATAATGTAACAATAATAAACATATAAAATAAACCTAAGAAAGAACATAAATTACATATGGACACATAACTTCAGAGTTACACAGTATTATAAAGAGCCATACGAAATTTTTATATTACTTATACATAATATTTCTGCAAAAATAAGAACAGTCATTGAACATCAGAAACGTAAGGCTAAGAATATCAAAACAATACAGAAGACAAAAATGAAAACAGTCAGAATGACTAGCATCCAGGGTTATTATTTTCTAGTTGATATTTTATCTCTTTACAAGAAGAGAAATGGTGAAGATATAGAATGAAATGTTTTTACAGGAAATTCTGTTTTCAAAAAAATTGACTTCAAATATTTAACTGCTAAATGCTACCGGATATTGCTATGTCGTGACATCTTAACTTATATTTGTTTTCTACTACGTACATATTAAGTAACCGAGGACATACGATGAAGCAGGACATTGATAGAGAATAAATTCTATTATTTTCGAAACTGTTCCTCGCACTGTTAAATACACAACTGCATCCTTCGAATTAAATTGTTATGAAATGAAATTTCCCTTCTTACAAAGTAATAAAATTTCTTATCATCTTTTATTGCATGTTCTCCATTATCCGATAGAATAAACTTAAACACAAGTAAAATACCGGTTTACAACGGGATTAAATGACACTTATCAGACAATTATTTAAAGCCAATTTTCTCGTAAATGACGTCTGGTATGGAAAAATTCACTTTTATATTTCGAGCTTGAAATTTATTCTTGTAAAATCATTCTTTTTGTAACAAATAATTG